CGGAAAATGGCCTGCAGGTGGGGCCTACCCGAACCCGTCCCGTTGCCACCCCTACATACATGTTTGTGTTGTGAACAACTTATGACAACGTTTTTTGTTTACTGCAAAAAAATAGTTTTTCTTGTAACGATTTTTTCCTCCATTTATAGAATTTTTAAAAAAAATATTACTTGTTGCAAAATGTAGACCCTATTACATCAAAATCTTTTTTTGCAGAAAATAAATGTTTGTCACCATAAGTTTTTCACCAAAAATATTTTGGTGTCTTGTAACTATTGTTACAATCTTTATTATTTGTTTTGCCTTTTCATATTTCCCGACAACTTTTAATGTCACCTTATATTTTTGATACTTATTTTATTCGTATCAATCTTTGCAACAAATCTTAAAAATGTGTAATGCTAAATCACTAATTGCGACAACATTTCGTATATCGCAAGATATCTTGTCACAAAATTACTTTTTTTTTTTTTTTTTTTTGGGTAGCGGATTAAGATATGTAGAGCCATGATATTAGCTTTCATCTAAAAAGAATTAAAATGTTGAAGATCATATATTAGTTATTTCTAATACATATAATTCATGGTATTTTTCCTGTCAAGTTCTTTATCATTTCTTTACATTTTTAATAAATAATATTATCTTAGCTCATTCTTATTATTTTGTAATTGAAAAATATATTTGTCTATCTAAGTGGAAATATTTGACCAGTTTCCATTGTTCCTTAAACTAGAAAGTATTTGTTTGAACAAGAAAAAAAAGGAGGAAAATTGTAGTGGGATTTATGAATTGTTGACATTATGGATTTTGAATTTTTGTTTGACATAATTATTTGTTACAATATATTATCTACTATTAATAGAGTAAACAAAATATTTCGAAGTGAGGACATTTCTATTGATGCTATTATTATAACTTAAAATAACTTCTTTTGTTTTTTGAAACATATATAGAACCTAGATTTGAATCTTAAGTTATTACGGCTAAAGAAATTGCTACTCAAATGGAAGTTGAACCTACATTCTATTAAGAAGATATTATTCATAGAAAGAAAACTCTTTGATAAATGTATCAACGAATGGGATAACAAATTTAGCTGAAAAATCTTTCAGAGTTGACTATTTTTATAAATGATCGACAAAACTCTTTCTTTCTTTACTTAATTGAATGTTTAATTAATTTCAAAAATATGAAAAACACTTTACAACATGATCCACTTACAACTACGGTGAAAGTTCAATAACCTGGTTTTCTCCTGGAAGGCAGGAGTTCCTTGAAAGGCAAGGCGCATACATGAGTTTGACTCGCTTGGTATTTTGGCAGTTCAATTGGGAGAACTCTTGGACCCTGGTCAGTTTGGGGCACAACCCGCGGTTTACCTGGTCTGCGTGAAGAGGGGCTGGATCGTAGACCCCAAGATTAGTCGCTGTAAGGTGGACACCTGGGTATAAAAAAAAAAAGAAAAAAAGTTCAATAACCTCTAGTGTAATTAATCCCTCTTACAGATCTGTCCCTATGGGACTTGTAGTAATTACGCGCTGGGCCCATAGTGGGCTGCCATAGTCGAAACCTACATGCCCAACTTGGACCATATGATCCAGTAACTCGTGGGCCTCTAAGTCTTTATGTTGTCTGTATGCAACTGGGGTGTATAAAAATTAGGGAAATTGCAGTAGTGATTTCTAATATTTTCAATTTTTGCAAACTTTATTTTAATCTTCATTTTGTATTAATGAAGGTCCATAACCTATTTAGAAAATATGCATTTGAAGTCCAAATTGATGGAATCCATTCACTTTTTTCATTAGTTGACAAAGAAAATGATTTTGACCACATTATTAATAATTTCTATAAGGGTAAATAGGTAATCTTATCTCTTTCCATATGAAAACAATTAGAATAATTAAATAAAAAAATAAAAAACCATCATCTAACCCATCTACTCCATCCCCACCCTACCCTATCCTACGCTACCCCAAACCAAAATCATTGTACACACACGCTTCGTGCCCTATAACACTTCGTACAGCATGATACCTAAACACCACCAGTCAACTAAAAAATCATGGCTGTTGCCTAATATGATCTCTGGCGTGACACTCCTTCGTCCCAACGAAAGAGTTGGATTTCTGTACCGAGTAGGATTCGTAACTCATTGAGTCTCCACCGAGTTCAATCGAATTAACTGAGTCCTTCAGCTAAATCCTCGAGTCACAGTACTTGAAGAAATGTTTTTTTTTTCTTGGTTCCATTTTGGGCATAGATTTTGTGGAACAATAATCTTCTGGAGATTTTGGAGAAAGTTTTGTTGATAAATCGAAACCTACTAACATTAAATGTCCATTTTCTTGAATCATCACAATTTCTGGCTTCAAATCTCTGTAAAATGGTGACCTCAAACTTAAGAAGTTTCAGTTAATGATTCTTTTTGTAGATACGCAGCGGGCGAAATTCGACGGTGGATAGAGTGATTTTGGTTTTGGGTACGGGGTATTGGTGTAGGGGTATGGATGGGAATGGGGATGCTCATGGGGTAGTTGTGGACTATGATGGTTTTTTTATTTTTTTTAATTTAATTAATTTATTTGTTTTTATATAGAAAGAGATAAAATTACCATTTTACGATTATAAAAAATAATTAATAATGTGGTCAAAATCATTTTCTTGATCAACTTATGAAGAAGTGGATGGATTACATCCATTTAGACTTTAAATTAATGTATATTTCTAAAATGTTAGAGATCTTCATTGGCACAAAATGAAAGTTAAGATAAAACCTGTAAAAATTAAAAAGGTTAGAGATCGTTACTGCAATTTTTCCTAAAAATTAAAATAAATGAAAATGGTTTAGAACTTTTGTTTATTCAAACACTTTTTTCAAAGAAGTAATACGTAATCAAAGGACAAATTTATATTAAATTTGACAATTTAACATGAATTAATTTTATCATCGACTTTATTGGCGGGTCGATTCAAAAACCAGAAGGTCAACATGAAAAATATGAAGTCTACTTGGTCAACCAAGATGAGATTAGATAGATTTTGACTTTGTCTGCACCTGAACGACATGCAAAAGGTGATTTTCGATATCATTGATCAAGTTGAGCTTGAGCTTGGTCATAAAGAGACATTGCAGAAAAATTCGTTTCAACATTTAATTTAATTTAAATAATATGGGAATTGATATGGATTTAAGTAGTGCTATTCGAGAATAGTCATCACCTTTATGTCCAAGAATAAAAGAATAAAAGAATATATGTTGGACGTGCTTTTGCATATATTTATAGGATTGTGACGAAGCTAAAACTACCAGAATTTGAGATATAATAATAAATTTCAAGATCGACCTTAGGTAATAAATGACCCATCAGTTCAGTTTGACATTTGATATTATTTTATATTGTGACAATAATTATTTTTCAAGTCATTGGTCGCGGACACCGGCCATCTGTTCAATTAGTTAAGTTATTTGTATTTTTAATTTATTATTATAAATAATAATATTATCTGTAGTTGTTCACTATCGTAATCGTCATATATATATATATGTATATATATATATATATATATATATGACAAGTGATTATTTAATACATTGACATACTCTATTATAAAACATATTAATTCAATTAAAGTGCAATTTATTTGGAACCTTCTTACCAATACTTGAATTTGCCTCCACTGTATTACTTGTTATGATATTGTTCACTTGTGAGATTTGGTACAACAAATATATCTGATTACAAGTACGACATCTAGTTTTATGCCTCAGAAGAAAAATTCAAATGTTGACCTTTAAACATTTTTAATTTTAGTATTCCTCCAAAGAATAATGAACTCCATTTTTAGGAAATAGATTTTGGATTATTGATATTTTTGGAGAATGTGTAGTTAAAAAGTAGAATTTTTTTTTGAATTTATGTGAAATTATTTTAATGGAAAAATGTTTAAAAACGAGTTGGAGAAAAAATGACTTTTGAGAGAATGGAACTCAGACACGGGCTAAGGTAAGACATGAAAAGTGGAAACAGGCATAAACAAGAGAAGAGACTGAATAGTTATCTCCTTATGTCATATTTAATCGCTTAGTCTAAAGATTCATCTTCTTAAAAGATTTAGAACATAAACCCTATTATTTTCTTGTCGAAAAAAGCATCAGTTAGAATGGTTAAATTGAACTCAGATGGGATGCTTAGGAGGGATGGACATGGTGCAGGTAAAGGTGCGTTGAGTAATAGTTATATGGCACTACATTATACAAAAACACTGAAATTAATGCTTTCAAAAGAGGTCTTAAAATCTGTCATCAACTTGGAGATGGGAAAGTATGGGCAGAACATAGCGTAGCTATCAAAGATGCTGTTCCATGCAATTTATTTCTCACTATAGTTAAGAAAAATATGTTGTTAAAATATATATATTTTTCATTTCTAACACTATTAAGCTTAAACATGATTTGGTCAAACTTGTAGATTAACAAATCTACTACCTCTTAAAAGAGAGACTTTAATATTACTATTCATTTATGTCACATTACTTTTCACACTACATCCAACTTATCCGATTTTGCTACAATAGTTTCATGTAAGAAAATGGGACACGCTTTCTTCTCTACACCACATAGTCTACTTCTTCTACTGCTTTTCTACTGTTTCCACATCCGCCCTTGTACAATTGTTGTGGGCCTGCATTCATTTTTCAATGTCAGTGAGTAGGAAAATTATTTGTTACAAATTTGACTTTTATGGCATAATGCTGGTAAATGTTATGAATTCTCACTTTATCCCTAATATCAAAATTGATTGAAAATAATTTGAAGCATTAAGTTAAAGGTATTTTTGACAAAATGATTATTAAAGTTAGGGTGTCATGGTCTTTTCAATTTTCATATAATAAATGCAGTCTGTCATTGTCTGTAAAATGTATAATGTGAATTTTGATTCCAATCTGCTTTATCTAAATCATTTCTCACAAAAATTGTTTCCGTCTGCCATGTTTCTTCTTCATTGTTTACCTTCATTCTTTACCTCTGCTTTTCTGTGAAACGAGAAAACATCTTTGAAATAGTATAGAAATTAGACACCGGTAATATTTCATGTTTACTTTCATGTACGGTAATATTTTTTTACAAAAAAAATTTTCTATTTGTATTGTAGATTATGGACGATTTTAGCTTCCAATTTATTTATTTATTTATTTTATTTTTTTGTAGATTTGAACTAAAAAATTTTGTTGTTTATGTGTATAGGTTAGATTACATTAGTTATCTCGTGGAATCGAAGGCTGTAGTGGAGAGATCTTTGTCAGGTAAGGGTTTTGAATTTTTTATTTTTATTATTTTTTTTGGTCCAATTGATGTTTTGTGCTTCTATGTATAAAATTTTCGAATATGTATGTACTATGTGATTTCATAACTTCCTATGCAAGGATCTCAAATTTGAGCCTCGTGCTTTTAAAGTTGAGATGATTTTAATTTTTTTACCTAAACCTTATAAACCTAATTCAATCATTTGCCTTCCCTTATCTTTACTTTACTAATTTTAGAGGGAGAAGAAAGAACTCATCGAGATTCGAGAACAAAAGAAAAAGGAAAACAGGAAGTATTTGACCATCTTTATATTTGGATACCACTTCAAATAGTAAAAGTCATAAAAATGGAGAAGTGGAAAAAGGCAACAAGAAACTAAAGCTGGGGGAAATTGGTTTTTTGTAATATACGGTGAGACATGAAATCTTTATTTGAAGAATTACTTTAGTTATATACTTTTTCATTAAAAAAGATACTTGGTTAGAGCTCTTTGAGGCATAAATTCATCGATGGAAATCTTTTATTACCTTCAATAGAATATCAAAAGGTGGATACTAAATACTAATGATGAATTTTAGGAAGAACTTGAATTGATACAATCAAATCTTCAAGCTTAATAATATGGAATACTATGTGCCATCATTTTTTGTTTTTATTTTTCATTAGTTAATTTACTTTATGTTCAAACAAGTTTGTGGTTATGTTTGTTGTCCTCTTTTAACGTCTAAAAGAACTATTTGATTTCGAGAAGAAAACAATATATTTGTTAGCATGCCATGGTATTGACATTTTCTTTTTGTTAATAGTCTTTTGTATGAATTGCTAGAGGACACTAGTGGCCTATTTTTTGTATCCTTTGTGGATCTTAATTAGCATTTATCTTTCAATAAAAACATAAGATAAACATGATAATATTTCAGATGTGCTTAACACTATTTTCTACGTTCTGATGATGTAGGACAACTGTGTAATCTTTTGGTAACGGCAATTTCTACATAATTCAGGTATAGTTTCTTTAAACAATATCCATTTTACACTAATTTTTTCAATTTTTCTTAGTGATATGTGAAATATCTTTGAATATTTTTTATATACAGCTTTCAGTTCTTTTCTTGACTATTTTGTGTATTTCCAATTTTCAACTTGTATATTTTTGCTTCATTACTTTCAATTGCTATCCTGATTTTTTTGTGCACTTCCAGTAGTCAACTTATGAATTTATTAAGTTCATGATTTTTGATGAATTACTTACATTATAGATTTAGAAAAATATTGGATGTGTAGGTTGATTGGGTGGGAGCAAAATCACTAAAATTAGATATGAAAACCTCGTTCCTTTTTGGAAGTCTTTCCCTTCTTCATCTTCAATAGTAGTATAGCAAAAACATTTACAAAATAATAATAGTATTTATGTTTAAAAATAACTCTTCATTTTACAAAAATCATATGAAAATAGTAATGTTTTTTTCTCTTGCATTTAAATCCTACATGTCTTATTAAAATTTTATTTAATCAATATTTGAGGCAGCAATGTTTATGTTTATTACTATTGCATTCAAGTAAATGATTTTTGTGATTAAACTTTAGCTTTATGCATGTTTTTAATGTTGTGAAAATCTGATCAATTTGTGTTTGTCAAATTTTTTTCCGATTGTGGAAATTGAGTAGTATTAATAATTTTTTTTTGTTATTTCATTTACTAAAATGAATTTTTTTTTCATTAAATTAGAGGTGAAGTTTTGTTCTCCATGAATTCTTCAAAAATATATGCTGATCAAGAATCTAGATTTTGTAACATTGATGGTACTTCTCAAAATACAAGTAAATCAACAAAATCAAAGACAGGAGGATAGGAGGAATCGAATTCAAACTCCACGCATTGATCGTCATAAAAGGATAAATGATTCTACATTATCTGAAAAAAATAATTTAGGTGCTTCCCATGCTCAGAAGTTTACAGTTCCTCCTATTTTCCAGGCTTCCACTTCAAATCAAGAATTGACTCATATTGTTCATTCTAAAGTACGAGGATTTTCTAACCTATTGAATATACCAACTAATGCATATGTATTACCGACATGGAACTACTGTGAACATTGTGGTAAACGAAAATTTTATAGAGAAACTGAAGGGTTTTGTTGCTCTGATGGAAAAGTTAAACTTTATATGCCTGATTCACCGACTGAATTGTATGATTTATTTACTTCTAAAGAACCTGAATGCATGGAATTTAAGAAAATTGCACATGGATATAATAACAATTTTGCTTTCACTTCGTTTGGTGTAAAATGTGATAGGTATTTACACTTTCAGAGTTCAGGGACAAGTATATCATTATGTGAATCAACTTATGCCAGAAAATAATAAGCCTTCTTATATGCAGTTATCTTTTTATGATACAGATAGTGAAATTGAAAATGGTATGAAAATTTCAGAAAATTTTGTTGAATCTACTTTGATCATTTTGATTGAAATCTTGAAAGTAAATCCATATAGTAGATTCTTTAAAGTCTTTAAGTAATATGACTAATTTAAATGACCATCGAATACAAATAAGATGCGATCTTGGACTTGATCAAAGAGTCTTCAATACTCCTTCGAAATCTTAAGTAGTTGCTATATGGGTTGAGAATGATGACAATGCAAATATTCGTGCTCGTGATGTTACTATATATGGTCATTCTGGTGATTCACATAGGGTTCATTATTATTATGGTTGTAATGATCCTTTGCAATATCCTTTACTTTTCCCATTTGGAGAATCTGGTTGGTATGAAGGTATTCAAAGATACCAAAAGACATATTTTGAAACTCAAAATTTGACTGACTGCGTAGCTTTTCCTAGCGCAGTAAATTTTGCAACCAAAATCATTGAAAAAGGGGCTAAAGGTTTGCTAATACACTTTTTTTATGTTTTCTAACTTATATAAAGTAAGTGTTCTAGATGGATGTAAGATGCATTTTCTTTATTCTCATGCAGTGCTCAATGGAATTAAGAAACGATCTGAAGTTTCTTGTCGGGACTACTATTCCTACAAGTTACAAATTAGACCTTCTGGTAAATCTGTGTTACTTCACGCTGGTAGGCTTTTTCAATAATATGTTGTAGATATATACGTTAAGATTGAAACTACTAGATTAGATTATTTTCGTAGCAACCAAAAGCAAATTCATGCTGAACTTTATCAAGGTATTGTCGATAGGATTCAAAATGGGGAAACAAGATGGTCAAAAATTGGTAAGAAAAGTTCTACCACAGACTTTCACATGTGGGCATAGAGATATGCTCAAAAGATATTTATATGCAATGGCTATCGTTCAACGCTATGGAAAACCAGATATATTTCTAACTATAACTTGTAATCCAAATTGGCTTGAAATTATGGAAGAAATGAAATACAATGACGAAGTTCAAAATCGACCAGATTTAATTGCACGTATGCTTAGAGCAAAATTAGAAGAATTAAAAAAGGATTTGTACAAAGAAAATATTTTTGGCCCAGTTATTGCTCATATATACATGATTGAATTTCAAAAAAGAGGGCTTCCTCATGCATATTTATTGTTGATTTTTAATTCTGCACATAAAATTTGTTGCGCTGAACAAGTTGATATGATAGTGTCATGTGAAATTCCCGATAAAAATAAATACTTGCATCTTCATTTTGTAATTGCAAAACACAATATGCACGGTCCTTGTGGAAATTTTAATCCAAAAATGTGTGTATGTTGGCAAGCAGTGGTTGTAAAAATAAATATCCTAAGGATTATTGTAAGAGTACTATATTTGGTGATAACTCATATCCATTGTATAGAAGTTGTAATAATGGTATTTCTATTAAAGTGAGAGGTCAAATGTTAGATAATCGATGGGTTGTACCATATAATCCTTATTTAAGTGCAAAATTTGACTGTCATATTAACATTGAAGTATGTTCTTTTATTAAAGCAGTAAAGTATTTGTACAAATATGTGTATAAAGGACATGATCATATTAATTGTTTCATAGGCAGAAATGAAACAGACAAGGAAATCAATGAAACTTCTGCTTATCAATCAGCTAGATGGATATCTCTACCAGAAGTTACGTGGAGAATTTTTTCTTTCAATTTGTCAAAAATTTATCCTACTGTTTATACTTTACTACTTCATATTAAAGATCATCAGCACGTAACTTACAATAATAAAGATAATTTATATATTATTATTGGGAAGGAGTATACGATAATAACAATGTTAACAGAACTTTTTCGGATGAATAAAGCAAATGAATTTGCTCGAACATTGTTGTATCGAGATTTCCCAACACATTTTGTGTGGAATGCAAATGAGAAAGTTTGGACTCCTAGAAAACAACACATTGTTATAGGAGAAATTGTGTCAGTCAATCCATTTGAAGGAGAACGATATTTCCTTCTTGTTCTTCTGAATCATATTTGAGGTCCAACTTCATTTGACAGTTTTAAAACTTTAAATGGAGTAACTGTTAATACATATCGAGAAGCAGCACTTTTACATGGTTTGTTAAAAAGGGATAATCATTGTGAAAAAGTCTATCCGAAGCTATTATTTACAAAATGCCTAATTCTTTAAGACGCCTTTTTGCAACACTTCTTACACTTTGCAACCCTAATCATCCAAAGCTACTGTGGGATAAATATAAAGCCAATATGATTGATGATTATGTACATCGAAACATATCTGTTGAAGATGCTGAAGTACAAGCTTTGGAAGACATCAATACTATATTAGAATCATTACGTAAAAACGTAAATGATTACGGAATAGTTTCATTCTTCGTAAATATAGATGAGACTCAAAGATTGACAAGAATGGATGCAGAGGAAACAATCAATTTCAATATTGAACGAGGCTTCAATTATGTAGAGCAATTAAATAAAGAACAACGATTTGCATATGATACAGTTATAGAAAAACTAAAAAATAAATCAAGTGGTACTTTCTTTATTGACGGTCTAGGGGGAACAGGGAAGACTTTTTTATACAAAGTTCTTCTAATTAGTGTAAGAAGTCAAAATTTCATTACTTTAGCAACAGCGTCCTTTGGAGTCGCTGCATCTTTGTTGCCTGGAGGTCGCACAGCTCGTTCGAGATTTAAAATTCCTTTGGAAACAGTTGGTGAAGTGAACTGCTCTATTAGCAAGCAATCAGCTTTATGAATATTGTTAAAAATGTCTAGGTTAAATCGTTGTGTTATTGAAGCTGTAGATAGAATTAAAGATATTATTGATTGTAACTTGCCTTTCAGTGGAAAAGTAATAATTTTTGGAGGGGATTTTCGATAAGTTCTACCAGTGGTCTCGAGAGGGAAAAAAGAAGATGTAATGAAAGCTAGCTTGGTTTTTTCAGACCTATGGCTTTCCTATTTACATTTACCATTGGTTGAGAATATGAGAGCAAAGTTAAATCCTATGTTCTGTACTTACTTACTTAGAATTGGAGATGGAACAGAAGAAGAACATACTTTTAAGTGTGTTATGCTTCCGAATAGTATAATTCTACCATTTGAAGATGAAATCACATCTTTAAAAATTTTGATACATCATGTATTTCCAAATATACAAACATATACTAACAATCTACATGATATGGTAAATAGGGTTATTCTAACGCCTACAAATGAATGTGTTGATTATATTAATAGGATTTTACTTGAACAAATTCCCGGTGAAATTTTTACATACTACAGTTTTGATGAAGCAATTAATAAATCAGAATAAAGCTTGCAAGAAGATTTTTTGAATACTTTAACACCAAATGGTATTCCATCGCATGAATTGAAACTTAAGATAAACTGTCCTGTAATGTTACTGCGGAATATCAATCCTTCTGAAGGGTTATGCAATGGAACACGCCTTACTTGTCGAAAATTTGAGAAAAACATTATTTTAGCTGAAATTACAACTAGTGAATATTGTGGAAAATATGTTTTCTTACCAAGGATCCTTTTTATACATCTTTAAAGTGATAGAAACTCAATTCAATTTAAGAGAACTCAATTTCTGATTAGACCATATTTTGCGATGACCATAAATAAAGCACAAGGTCAAACACTTGATTTTGTCGGTCTATATCTTCCAGAACCGATTTTCTGCCATGGTCAGCTATACGTAGCATTATCAAGAGCAAAAACGAACACATCTCTAAAAGTTCTATTGAAACCATCAAGCACAGACAATTCTCATAACACATGTACTAAAAATGTTGTGTACAAAGAAGTTCTTTCTTTTATACATTCATATACCTAAAATGTTTTAACAGGTATATTTTTTT